GATCATGGCTGCAGTCCTGCCTTGTGGAGGAAATGGAAATTATTCTCCCTTACATAGTCAAAATACTCACATGTATGTGGGTGACTCCCACACAGCGTTTCCAAACAGTGGTCCTAAAAATTACTTTTATTCTTCCACCATCTCTCCCAACCCCCAGCCTAAGACAAATATTAATGACACCATGTCAAAATTGAGTATATCTTAAGCTTTAGGAATGGGGCTGGGGTCCACCCAACTTGGCTTCTCTTCTGTCCTCTCCTCTCCCTGCTATTTTAACCAGAAACCCCTTTACAGATCCATCTTTTCTCCCAACAAGAATTTTTCAGTTTCCCAAAGACCAAAAGGTCCTTGAAAAATAGCAGATTAATCCAGAAATAGTTTTATTCCAAAACTAATATGCATATTATATTGTCTTCACCAGAACTAGTGAACTTCCATCAATGAGGTTCTTGCACTAATGCTGCATCTCTCCTTTACCTCCATACCTCCACTTTTCTCTTTACTGCCCATACCTCTACCTTTTCCAATCAATTTTTGGCATTTGGTCTCTTTTCCCACAAGGTTTTGCTTGATTAAAATATGCTTCCCTCGTCATACTTAATTAAGGATACATCTTTAACCTTGTCATGAAAAGGCTATTAATTCCAAGACCAAACACACCAAGATTATTTTTGCTGCTTTCCTGTGAGTACAAGAGTTAGTTCCAAACAGAACAGACCAGTCTCCTTGATCAAATCCTACACATCCTTTTCTAGCATCACAAGTATCACTATTTCTCTTCATTTTTATCTATCTGCATAGAACACTTATCTTTTCCCCCACCATTCCATTGGGCTAACATTTTATTCCTCCCTTAAAGTCTACCTCAGACAGTCACCTCACCAAGTCCTTGTCTTAGAAATGACCTCATTATTCCCTGCCCTGGACATTACCCTTTCCCCTGCTAATAATTGGCCTATAGAGAAGAGTTTCTAAATGTTCTTATATCCTTAGTATTAATTTATATTCACAAACTCCTATAAGATAAAAAAAAATGCAAGCAAGGCTTAGAAAGGTCAAGTAATTTTATCAAATTAAAAGTGTTAATGTTACTGATACTTTCAGGTCCCTATACTTAGTCAATTTTCACTTTACACCTATACAGTTACTCTTCTTGCACTTAACAGTATTTGACTTTTATGATGGTTATTGGCACACTTGTCTATCAACTACCCTTGACATAAGCTTTCAGTAGAAAGTGTCACCTTAATCTTCCTTTTATCCCTGACATATAGGAAATGGTTAAAGTACCAATTGTAGCTGTGTGCCTTCACTATCCAAGTCTCTGGAGCTATTTGTTCTGTAATGTAATCCTGCTTTTTAGATCTTTTTTTTTTTTTTTTTTTTTTCCCCTTTATTTTATTTTATTTTTTTTAAAGTTGTAGATTTACAATTTTTTGTGCTTTGGTTTCAATTATACAATGATCAGATACCCATCCCTCCACCAGTGCCCATTTTCCACCACCATGGATAATATCCCTCCCACCCCCATCCCCCCATCCCCCCTGTCTCGCTTTTTAGATCTTTAAAGTAACCCAAATGAGAGTGTTATGAGCTTCACATGAAGGCAAATAATCTAAGTCTTAGATATTTCTCATTATGATGGGGATCATCTACAGGGTCAGGTCCCACTCATCACTCTGCATCCACCGACCCAGCCTTCCCCAGAAATCCAGGGATTACCCACAGCAAATGTTACAGATGCCCAGAGCAGCAGAATGATGTTTAATAAATATGTCTGGAGAGAATTTTTTTTATTTGTAATTTTTTGGCCTCTGTGCTCAGGAGACCCAGGAGCCCTTCCCAGGGATTTTCAGCCAACCCAGACTGGTGATTTAAAGCAAGGTCCTAAAGTTGTGGTGCTCGCTCTTCAATATAGTACTGGAAGTACTTGCAATAGCGGTTAGGCAAGAAAAAGATATTAAGGGCATTCAGGTAGAAAAGGAAGAAATCAAGCTGTCACTATTTGCAGATGATATGATCCTATACTTAGAGAACCCTAAAACCTCTACCAAGAAACTCCTAGAAACAATAGACTTGTACAGTAAATTTGCAGGCTATAAAATCAATACCTAAAAGTTGATGGCTTTCCTATACATAAATAATGAGAGAGAGGAAAGTGACATAAAAAAAACAATCCCATTCACAATCGTGCCTCAGAAAATCAAGTACCTAGGAATTAGCTTAACTGAGGATGTAAAAGACCTGTAAAAAGAAAACTACAAAATGCTATTTCAGGAAATAAAAGAGGACGCGAGGAAATGGAGAGATATCCCCTTTTCAAGTATCAGGAGAATTAACATTGTTAAAATGGCAATACTCCCCAAAGCATTGTACAAATTCAATGCGATCCCTATAAGGATACCCATAACATTCTTCAAAGAAATGGAGCAAACACTCCTGAGATTCATATGGAACAATAAGCCCCCATGAATAGCTAAAGCAATTCTTGGGAAAAAGAAAAATGGGAGGAATCAACCTCCCTAAGTTCAAAGTCCACTACAAAGCAGTAATAATTAAAACAGCATGGTACTGGAACAAAGGCAGAGCCACAGACCAATCGAACAGGGTTGAATATACTGACACCCCCCCCCCCCCCAAATATATGATCAGCTAATCTTTGATGAGGGAGAAAGGAATGTGATGTGGAGCAAGGTGATTTAAAGCAAGGTCCTAAAGTTGTGGTGCTCGCTGTTCAATATAGTACTGGAAATACTTGCAATAGCGGTTAGGCAAGAAAAAGATATTAAGGGCATTCAGGTAGAAAAGGAAGAAATCAAGCTGTCACTATTTGCAGATGATATGATCCTATACTTAGAGAACCCTAAAACCTCTACCAAGAAATTGTGTTGGCAAAACTGGACAGCTACATGCAAAAAATGGGCTCAGATTTCTACCTAACACCATGTATAAAAGATAAAAATAAAATAAAGACCTCAGCATTAGACCGGAATTCAAAATTACATTGAAGACAAGGTTGGCAAAAACCTACACGACATTGAAACTAACAGTATCTTCAACGATGACACTCCACTGGCCAAGCAAGTGAAAACAGAGATACATAAATGGGACTATCTTAAACTAAGAAGCTTCTGCACCTCAAAAGAAACAGTGACCAAAATACAAAGACAGTCTACAGAATGGGAAAGGATATTCACTCAAAACCCATCTGATAAGGGGTTGATGTCAAGGATATACAAACCACTGGTTGAACTCCACAAGAAGATAACATCCAACCCCATCAAAAAATGGGGTGACAAAATGAACAGAAACTTTCTCAAAAAAGAAATCTGAATGGCTAAAAGGCACATGAGAAAATGCTCTACATCACTAATCATCAGGGAGATGCAGATCAAAACAACAGTGAAATATCATCTCACACCACAGAGACAGGCACACATACAAAAGAACAAAAGCAACTGTTGTTGGCATGGATGTGGCGAGAAAGGGACCCTCTTTCACTGCTGGTGGGAAAGCCGACTGGTTCAGCCCTTTTGGAAAACAGCATGGACGGTTCTCAAAAACTTAGAAATTGAGCTCCCATTTGACCCAGAAATACTACTCTGGAAATATATCCCGGAGAGGCAAAAAAGTGCAGTCGAAATGACATCTGCACTTGTATGTTCATTGCTGCACTGTTCACAATAGCCAAAATTTGGAAAAAACCCGAGTGCTCAAGAACAGATGACTGGTTAAAGAAACTTTGGTACATCTACATCTACACAATGGAATACTATGCTGCTGTTAGAAAAGATGAAGTCATGAAATTTAGATATAAGTGGTTCTACATGGAAAGTATCATGCTAAGTGAAATGAGCCAGAAAGAGAGGGACAAACATAGAAAGACTGCATCATTTGGGGAATATAAAGTAACAGAATGGGAGACGAACACCCAAGAATAGTTGAGATAAGTACCAGGAGATCTGCTCCACGGCTTGGAAGCTGGCAGCACATAATGGGGGTAAAGCAGCTCAGATAGAGAAGGGAACACCAAGTAAAAGATGTTTGGAGAATTCGCATGGGATGCAAGATGCGTGCTGAAAATAGACTATAGACCAAACACAATGGCCACTCAATACTTCTATTGCAAACCACAACACTCTAAAGGAAAGAGAGAGCAAAAGGGAATGCCCTGCCACAGAGGTGGGGTGGGGTGGGGGTGGGGGATGAGGTGGAGGGGTGGAAGGGCTACTGTCATCATTTGTGGTGGAAAATGGGCACTGGTGGAGGGATGGGTACTTGATCATTGTATAACTGAAACCCAAGCACAAAAGTTTGTAAGTCTACAACTGTACCTCATGATGCCTCATTAATAAAAAAAAATAAAGTTATGGTGCTGCTCGTATGTCCTGTGGTACTTGTTATTATTTGGGTGGCCCTGGAAGAGCTTGGGGGCTTCTAGGACTGCACCCATTGATGCTTGGGGGACCACGTGGTTCTGGGTACTGAACTGGCATAGGCCACATATAAGGCATATGCTTTAATCTCGGTATTATCCCTCTGGATTTCAGATTTAATATTTTAAATAAACCTACTGGAATAATCCCAATTTATTTAGGAAATGTTGAACTTACCGATTTTTGCTCCCTAAAAATTAATATATTTTCTTCCTTGTATCCTTAACAAGGGTTGGAGCGATAGCATAGCTGGTAGGGCATTTGCCTTGCACGCAGCCAACATGGCCGACCCGAATTCGATTCCTCCACCCCTCTCGGAGAGCCTGGCAAGCTACCGAGAGTATCTCGCCCACACGGCAAAGCCTGGCAAGCTCCCCGTGACGTATTCGGTATGCCAAACATAGTAACAACAAGTCTTATAATGGAGATGTTACTGGGCCCACTCAAGAAAATTGATGAATAATGGGAGGACCGTGAATAACCGTGAATCCTGAACAAACTACCACCTGATTCTAAAACCCCACAGAGTTGTTTTTTAATAGACAGCAAACGTTTAACTCTTACCAACAAATTTCTGAGGCATAGAGCTCTTACGTTTGGCGACGTTACTTGCTAGTCTGTCCAGCACAAGGGATCTCTCTGACCCCATCTTGCACAAGTCTTCTGCCATTTCACTGTGATTAGTTTCTTCTTTAGTGACTAAAGTCAAAGACAATCAGAAAGGCCAGTTTAGAAAATCTTATGGTAAAAAGATTCAGTCCCGTCCGTCAATTTAGTGCTAAATCTGACATTTGTTAAGCACCTACAAGAACCAGGCCCTTTGTAGAGATTATTTCTAATCTTCCCAGAAATGCTGTCAAACAGAGGCTGAACACAGCAATGCCAAAGATGGATCATCTGCTAATGATAACTGCTCTCCCCACACTAGCTGCAGAGTCCAAAGAAACAAGTCATACCTCTGTCACTGGAAACTGGACTGAGATTAAGTAATTGTGTTGCTTTGACAAGCCCTCCTCAGTTTTCAAAGTACACCCAAGTCCATTAATTCAGTCAGTCCTAACAACCGGCCTCTGAGAATCAATGATCTCTGAACGCTAGAAATGATCTTAGAGCAAACTTCATTCGTTGCAGAGCAAATGGCAAAACAGAAAGAAATGTGACTGCTAAGATGCTATAGGAAATCCTGGGAATGTTGGGGTGGGGAGCAACCCAGACTTTCTTATCCTCAAACACATGGAAAATTCTAAAAGCTGAATAGCACCTGTAGCAGAATGTTTGTGAATATGGAGGTAAAGGCTGATAAAGGAGGTATTTTCTGCTGAATTTATATTTTTTGATATTATATTTTCTATAACAAATAATTCACCTCTATATCCTGAGTAGTTTTATATATAGTGTAGAACTTATGGCTGGTTCTCAAAAATTATATTGCACAAAGATCCTCCAAATTTATCCTAATGTATAAGGAACTAAAAAATGTATATTGATTATATTCCAATTAACTAATCAATTTTTGCAACACAAGTTATGAAGTAATTTTAAAGTTTACTACAATAGGTTTCCTATATGATATGCTGCTTTATGTAGATCTCTGGAAGGTATTCTTCCATTTTGTTTTGTTTTTGTTTTGGGGCCGTGCCTGGCCATACTCGTGGCTTTCTCCTGGCTCTGGGCATGGAGAACACTCCAGGTGGGGCTGGGGAGACTATATCAGGTGCCAGGGATTGAACCTAGGTCAGTAGCATCCAAGCAAGTGCCTTATCCACTGTACTATCTCTCCATCCCCCATTCTTTCATTTTGATTACTTGTTATTTATTCTTCATAATTACTTGTTATAGCTAATTTTTAATATATCAATAGTTATCTCTACTTTTAAAAACATCACTTCTGTAATCTATTTTTCCATATATTTTGTCATGTATTCCAAATATCAGTAGCTTTTGCATATTAATTTGATGCTAAAATCGTGCCTTTATTTGGAAGAACATTCAATTATCCAGATTCTCTCCCCCTTCAATCTTCCTTGAAGAATGAAGTTTCCTTTCTTGTCTTAGAATGGTTTGGTAGTTTTCTTTATTATTTCTGGAATATCACCTGTCATGCTTATTTCTAAGTATTTTATATTTCAAAGTACTATTATGAAAGTCACTTTGAAAATATATACTACAGGGGCTGGAGCAATAGCACAGCGGGTAGGGCGTTTGCCTTGCACGCGGCCAACCGGGATTCGAGTCCCAGCATCCCATATGGTCCCCTGAGCGCCGCCAGGAGTGATTCCTGAGTGCAGAGCTAGGAGTAACTCCTGGGCATCGCTGGGTGTGACCAAAAAGCCAAATATATATATATATATATGTATATATATATATATATATATATATATATACTACAATCTGTTAGTTCCACTGGTATAAGTAGATTTTAACATTGCACATCTGGGCTTTTTAGTAAGTGGACAAAAGTAAATATTCATTCACTGTTTTGTATGAAGAATATACACACAAAATCAATAAATATAAGTACACTGATTATACTTTTGACCTATAAGATTACTCAGTTCCCAATCTATCTTCTTCCCTGAACAGAGGATGCTATGTCTAGGTCTTGTTTCTTATGCACAATCAGGAAGGTTTCTTTCCCATCAGATCACCAGCACACTAAGAAGAGACATTCAAGCAAGAGATGCAAACAAGCTTCTTTCCCCAGATCCTGGAGATCTGCCCTTTGAAATATTTCTTTTCATATAAGCTGGTAACAAAAGTTTTCTAAATGATGCCCAAGGGAAACTTACTTTTCCCCTAAGGAAGTTAAAACAGATGACCAAAAAGTTTTTGACTCAGACAAGTCACATTAAAATATATCTTTGCCACAATGTATAAACTACACCTCTATTTTTACATAATCTTAAATGATGGACAGGAAAACTAGGAGATCTTATGAGTACCTAGACAATGATGGGGACTGGTCTGAAGGAAGGACAGAAGCGAGAGCCTCGCAGAAAGCCAGGCTTTGACACATCCTGGTAGAGCAGAGCTAAGTGACTAATAATCTCTGCCTAGGAATACTGGCCGCTCTCTGAATTCCAGATATATTCTTATAAGACTTTCCATTAGCTCTTTACCATTTCTTTGGTACTTCAAATACCTCCAACTTACTGCAGAAGAATGACAGCCATCATTTTGTATTCCTAATTATTAATCATGGAGAGAAATAAGCTAATATTTTAAATGGATTCGGACCACAGGCCATAGTTAACATATGTATTATGATATATGTAATGATATAGGCATTGTTATATAAATAGCCAATTACAGAATGGGACTGGAAAAAATCTCCACTATTTATTTAACTTTGTTCTATTTCTTAGCCCCGCGATGACTTTTTGTGCTTGTACCACATAAAAAGATTAGTTTCAGTTGACCTATTAGTATATTTCTTATGTCCTCTAAAGTTGTAAAGATACATTTTTCACTTTGCATTATCTGAGATTAGGGGATTAGGGTTAAGTGCTGTCTTGAGATGCAGTAAGAAACAAAGCATCAAAGCACGTGAGAAGAGTGTTCTTCCCTCAAACTTGGGACAGCCTCACTGCTATTACTTGTCAGTCTTACAACAAGTTCCCTCTCCCATGTTCCAGCACCAAAACTGATGACAGAAAACACAGCCAAGCTCAGACCTGATCAACTTTAGGAGAAAAAGTCTTTAAAACAACATTTTATATCTGATTCTAACTACTAAGCACATACACACAAAAGCAATCAACAATTTTGTTAAGAGAAAAAACCTCCAGAAGGCCTCTGAACTTTCAAGGGCTACTCCTATTTTAGGAAGATTCTCCAGATTTCAAGAGAGAATTTTTTATTTTTTTTGCTTTTTGGGCCAAACCTGCGATGCACAGGAGTTACTCCTGGCTCTGCACTCAGGAATTACTCCTGGTGGTGCTCAGGGACCACATGAGATGCTGGGAAGTAAATCCGGGTTGGCTACGTGCAAGGCAAATGCCCTCCCCACTGTGCTCCAGCCTAAGCGAGGAATTTTTTTTTTTAAATTTATTTTATTTTATTATTTTTTAAAATTTTTATTAGTGAAACACCATGAGGTACAGTTGTAAACTTACAAATTTTTGTGCTTGGGTTTCAGTTATACAATGATTAGGTACCCAAGTTTTCTCTGCCAGACTAGCTATGACTCTAAAAGTTGGGAATAACATGTGTCTCTAGTGAAATATAGAGAATTTTTGTGGTCAGTAGCTCCCTGCCATCCCCAACGTCCCCACTCACAGAACTGTCACAGGGCCCTTCACACGTGCTGGGGAGGCACAGCCTGGACAGGCCTGCCTCCTGATCTCAGGCTTACCTTGGTACAGCGTGCCCGGAAGGCCCATGCTTTGCAAGTAGTTGTGGCAACGCTCTTTATGTTCCTCTAAAGAGCTTCGCTGCTTATAGCTTCGGCCACAATATCCACATTTGTGAGGTTTACCAACTGCAGAAAACACAATTGAGTTCAAGACCCTAATTAAATGTTGGTCTTATGTGTAATGGGAAGGCATGCAATACAACTATTACACAATGTTAAAAAAAATATGGCTCTACTCTTGAGAGCTTGAAGTTTATGGATTTGGATAAAATGACTGAGTTTGAAAATGTTAATGTTCCGTATTTTTTTCTTGATTGTACAAGGAACTCCTGTGATTCTTATTTCATTTAAATTTCCTACCATACTGTGTACCACCTTCTCCCTTCTAAAGTCTCTGATTTTGGTCCTTTAACTACAGGGAATGACCACTGCAGTGCTGTATTGTATCTTAATGAGAATGGTGAACAGACTGAGACAGTTTTATAAAGTGTTATAATATGGATGGTGAGCAAATCTGAGATAGAAGCAAGGCTTGTGTATGACAAGTGTCACTGAGGATGTTAATATAAAAAGTTGATTTTAATTCTAATTGATTAAAATTCTAATACCTCATATGGTTAATGATTGCTGGACATTGGACAGTGCAATCCTACAAAATGATTTTAGCTTTTCCCTAATTTCACTGAGTAGTATTTTCAAAAAAGAAGAGTAAGACAATTAACAGCATGATTAATTTAAAAGTCTTTAGTAGAGAGCATTTTACTAGATGAAGAAGACAAGGCATCTTCAATTACTTAGGTAAAGATTTAAATTTCCTTAGGTAAGAATATAAAGTTTCACCAAAAGAGTACAGAGTTTTAAATTTTTTCTCTTGTAATATTTCATATATTTGAAAGCATTACCATAAAAACCAATATTACCTCAAAACGGATGCTGAATTTCAACCAAAGTTTATATTGATTAATCTCTTTTTAAAGTGGACATAGTTTAAAGAGGCATGGTTCAAGAAAATCAATATTATATTTAAAATTTTATTTCTGAAATGTTTAATATAGACAAAAGGGATTTTTACCTCATCTTTATAAAATATTGTATCCTTAACACTTTTGAGTAATGTGGAAATATACCGTTGCCTAATATTAAACATTTTAGTAAGTATGACTTTTTCTAAACGCAATGCAATATAGAAAACTACTCAATGTCCAATCCCAGAAAAGCTTTAACTTTAACAAATTCCAGTACATATAACATATCTTATTCTGAGTATATGATTTTAACTCTCTGTATCTAAGAAAAACATTTACTGTAATAAATGGAAGCAAAGTATAATGTGAAGAAAGTCTAGTATTCTCTAGGAAAGAAAGTTTCTAGTTATTCTTGCAACTTACAAAGAAAGCAATGAAGAGAAGAGGAGCTGCTTCTTCACTATATCAGACCACCCAGTCCCCCTAATTATCACTATGTAACCAATTACAGAGCTACAGAACCAGAACATATGATACTTGGAGCCTCAGGCCACCACCAGCTGTTAGAGGAGCCTAGAAGTTTCTGGTTATGTTTTCATGAAAATGGGAGAGGGGGATACCCAGCCCATAGTGGAAAAGAATGTGAGTCCACATGCACTTTTAGACAAAGGATGAGGTCTGTCTTTATTTAATTATAATAAGGTCATCTTGCAGAACCTAGATAATTGATTTTTTAAGTGCCACATGGCACTTTAAGATATTCCCAGTAAAATGACCAATCATTTGTGGATCATATATAGTTTTCTTCATTAAAGTATTATCCACTTGCTGGTTTGTGGATCCATAGTAGAAAACAAAATATCCAAAGTCTACTACCTGATATATATATGTGTGTGTGTGTGTGTGTGTGTGTTCTAAAGTTATTACTTAGCCGTATAGAAGAAGACACACTCAGGCTGAGTGAGATCATTCACCAAGCCAGAATAACAACACTGAAAATATGAGATTTGAGTTGCAACCACAGGACTTTGTAATGTGCCTATCAACGTGGCAGGAGGGACTGGGGGTGGGATGGTGTGTGTGTGTGTGTGTGTGTGTGTGTGTGTGTGTGTGTGTGTGTTTGTGTGTGTGTATGTGTGTAGGGGGTGGGGTATAGGAAGACTGGTGGAAGAAAGTTGATGCAGTGGTGGGAATGGTATTGAAATTTTATATGCCTAAAACTCAACTATCAATAATGTATCAAATCACGGTTATTTAAATAAAAAATGTAAAACAGTACTGAGTACTGCCCTAAGTTCAGAAAGGAAAGAAATGTTTGCTTTATGTTTTATTGCTTTATGTTTTAAGAACGAGTAAGCCTGTTGCCAACCCAAGGGATCCAGGGATGACAATGACATAGTTATTATTAAACTAAGGATAAGTCATTGTGTTTTCTGCCTACTTGGGAAGATGTGCTTCTTCCCAACCTCAGTTACGTGCCACTGCCATTTCAGTAATGTTTACTTTTCTCCATATATATGATGCAGATAGGGCTTCCTTTGCCTAGAAAGCATGTTAGACACTGTACTCAGATCACCTGAGGCATAGCTGTTATCTAGATATACCTAGATTTTCCACAGCACTTAACCTCTAGTGTGACAAGACATGGCCCTTATTATTGACACATGTTTGCATGAAAAAGTGCTTATAGTTATGTTGTCACCATACAACTTTCAGGAAAACTCCTGTTCTCTCTAACCCCTGCAGCAAAGCCCTTCCAGCCCAGGCATGTGTCGTGGCCCTGATAGGAAGATCCAGGCACAGGTAACATTGTCACCCTACCTTCTACCCATTCTATGAGAAGAGTGACTCCTCAACTTTTCATCATTTCTTGATTTCAAGAATTCCATTCAAATCACATAGCCTCCTGACTTCTAGTACACCTGAAGTTCTACCAGCTTAAAGGCAGGCATTTCACAACACTTCCTTCAACAGGCCTCTCCCTGCTTTCTGGGAGTGTTTACTGAACCACATGTCATATGGGACTCCTCTAAAGATAAACTAGAGAAACTCACCATTTGGCCCGACTCAAAACTTTCCTTATGCCTGTCACAGAGTGTCACCTCACTATGTATTCTCTCAGACACTCATGCTATTACACTTGTGACAGGGTCATTGCTACTTTGCACTCGTTCCCCTGGTGGGACAGGGGTTCTTGATGTGCTCAGAAAACAGATACATGAATAGAAGGAAAAGGCTTATGATATCTGGGAGAGATTATGAGCTCAAGGAAATATTTTTCCAAGCACTCAATGTCCCTTCTCTTGTGGAGGTTTCTCTTCATTTGTTGCTGGAGGTAAGTGAGAAGAACTATACTTGGAGTTCTGGAGAATCCTACTTTCACATTATCCAGCTCAGAAGAGTCTAGAATCTTTGGAAAAGAGATAACTGAGGGCAGGGAACAGACATACACTGTACCTGAAGTTGCCACTTCAAGTAACCCCATTGGGTGTTGTGTATATTTGCACATCAGGCTCTCACTGATGTCTCTGAAGATCCCCAGAAGAGAATCTGGGGTTCCTCTGTTCTTTAAGGAAAGTTTCTCAAAGGACAGAAAATCTGGTATAAGCATTCAAGCTAATTAATAATTTAAGCCTTAACTCCTCTAAGACAGCAATGCTCAGGAAAATACACAATCCAGTAGTAGCTTCACATTGGCCTTGCCTGGCTTCTGGTGTGAGATTTACATTTGGGAACACCTATGACGGTCATCTTTGTGAAGAAATCCATTCCAATGATTGCAATTATACTAAATAAATCTGACTTAACAATTACATAATAAAATGAATTGGGACACTCTGGGAATTATCAGCATAGCTGATAATGGGATATTGAAAATATTCCTACCTGACAAAATGGGAGGGGAAGCCTCTTTGAAGCACTCTTCCTACCTCAGGTGTAACTTTGTGTGCATATGTGCGTGTGTGACGGAGGAGGGTGTGTATGTGTGTTTCCCGTCTCTGATTTACTGAGACATAAGAAAATATAAGGGGTGTTAAAGGGGACTAAAGACAGTGATGGCCAGGTTTAATGACAGGCTTTGCCCTAGGACGAGGCCAGCTAACAAAGTCACACACACATACACACATTTGTACACATGAAAATCCTTGAGACCCTGCAGCATCAAAATGACTCCTTGCCCCTCAGCCTTGGTCTGCATGTGGAGGACCTACCAGAGTGTGTCCTCAGGTGGCCAGTGAGGGCATCTCTTCTGCGACAAGCATAGTTGCAGAGGTGGCACTTGAAAGGCTTCTCCCCAGAATGTAATTTGATGTGCCGTAGCAGGTTGCCTTTCTGAGTGAAAGAGGCCCCACACTGGTTGCACTGGAAAGGCCGTTCTCCTGCAAGAAGGATGAGAGGAAAGGCGGTGAGAAAAGAACTCAGCTCAGGGACAAGAGGAGGACAAGAAAGTTGTTTCTCACAGGGGCCCGTTGACTTCCACCGGCTGCAGGTTTGATAGAACATGAGGCTTTCAGACTAAACCTGCCAGCTCCTTAACGCTTCACTGGTTGGGTCAATTTGATCTGAAAATCTAATTTTTTTCCCTAAATCAGAATGGCACATCACAATGCAAATTCAAACTCATTTAAATAAAGTGACTGCAACATTTTGTGATGAAGAGCCACTCTTCCTGATCAGCAGTTTTGGAATAAACCAATATCCAATTTTGCGTGTTGTGGCATTTGGTGGGGTTTTTAATGTGGCTTTTTTCAAAGGGTCTTTAAAATATGCCACTGAAGCAGCAAAATAAAAAGGAAACTCATTAAAAATGCATTTCAGGATCACAAGTTCATTTCAGCGTTACATTCTTATATTTAAATGAAAGGCACTTCATTATAACAGTTATAATAACTTCTTTTCATTTACATTTTCCCTGTATTTTCCCTTTCAGTTTCTTCTCCATTACCTGTCTGTCCCTAAGCAGGCAAATCAGGAAAGAGACAGACAGAGACTGTGAGGGAGAGAGAGAGAGAGAGAGAGAGAGAGAGAGAGAGAGAGGAGAAAGATTGAATAAAATGGAAGTTAAGAAACTGTGAGGAAGCTCTCTATATTGTCCAAAGAAAAGTCCCAAATCCCCCAGGGCATAAAAATCAGAGCTGCATTGATATTTATTGCTTTTGGTTCTCATAAATTCTAAAATCTTTATGATATTATTTATCTATAGCCATGGGAGATATTATATTTTCAGGAAAAATACTCTAAGAGATGTAATTTAGATTTGTTGGGAAATCTTTCTGGAGTGATATTATTCGATTTGTCTAAGAAACATCTGACCCTCTGCTCTATGTGGCAGTTCAAATCTCTATATTCTGGATCTAACAAAAGGGATATATGAGAATATAAGTAAAATAAATATGCTGCTGAGTAGTCATAGGTCTTGGATTTAAACTGGTGAACATTTAATTTAAACCACACTTATGAGAGTAAATATGTTTAAGTAAATATTAAAGCTCTTTTGAGGACAAGTTTTTATTTTTTTCTTAAAAAATTTCTATGTCACCATAATCTTTGATGCTGAGATCAGAGCAACATTTTTCCTAGGAAAAAAGACTGTCTTAAAGTATATATTTAACAAATTTCCCAATTTATTAATGTAATTTTGGCAAACAAGACAAAGCAATTAAGAAGGAGCATACCTGGTACTGCTAAAATCACACACAATTAAATCCAAAAGTGTCTTTTTGCATCTGGATTTAATGAATGTCATCGCATATTTTTTCAAGTGGGCAAAACAGATGTGTTACTATTGAAAACTGAAACCATGATATTCTATTAAAGACTAACGGGGCACCCTGATACTAACAAGGATGTACAAAAGGCTATCCAAAATCTCTATTGGGACTAAACCTGGTGGGGCAAAGAAAGGATCTTAAATCATTTAAGTGAGGCGGAGGATGATGGCAAAACCAGCCATGGAATCTTTGAGCTCACACTGGATCAGGAAATTAAATTAACTGGTAGCCAGCAGGCCTGAGAAATGTGTGAGATAATTTGTCTATTAAATACATTCAGGATCTTCACAACACACATATTTGTGAGAGTATCCGGCCAAGAGGGGAATGAACTGCAATAAAGTTTTGTGTAGGGGCTCTGGCAGAGTGAAATGAAATGTGTTTCAGTTACAGTTCCAATTTGGACATGTCATGCCCACAGGCTGTTGGGTCAGCTAGGAGATCTGACTGCCTATCACAGAAATGCTTATGATAGTATATGTGACACTCGTGCCACATACATGTGCTCTGATACAACTCAACACCAGCCATCAGTGTAGCACCTTTGTGCTCAAAAAGGAGTCGGAACTCTTCTATGGAAGGTTGTAGCACAGTAATACTCTCTATAGAAGAGTCATCTCAATCCAGGGACGGAAAAGCACAGGTCTTGATAAGCATGCTCTCTGTCCTTGGAACAGGCCGGGTAGGAAAGGTAGGGAGACATTTTTTCTCACTGGAGTCTACCTAAGTGGCTCTCCTGCATCCTCTGTGTCAGTTTCTTAGCTGACAAGCATTCCTGGAGATCTAGCTATCTGTTTCTGATTGCCTATGCAACACAGGATCTGGAAGAGAGTATCCTCTGAAGTGCAATGCAGAATGTTGAACTTGAGACAGTGTTGGCCTCTGGGGGTGTCAGCAGGAGAAGGAGCGTGATGCCCAAGTGCTCAGTGTGTTTGTGCTGGTCACTCCACTCACCTGCCTCCTCCTGTCTTCCTTCTCTTGGTCAGTAGATTGCCTATTATAGCTAAGATCAAGGTTCTGATATTGCATTTCTTTTTTAGGGATAAGGATTTTAATTACTATTTATTCAAAATGAAGTTTTAAACTTAACTCTAAAGGTCAGACATCACAGGGAGTTTGAAAGAATGAGTCTCTTTTCTTTGAAATTATTGTTAAAAAAATCTCATTTCTTATAATGCTTCTTCCATACCAGCATCTTCTCTAATTCTCACATTAACCCTGGATATCTCATTAATCTGTAAATTAAAATATAAAACTGAGCAGCAAAGATAGGCAAGTAAATGGTGATGTCAATTAATTGCTGAGAAAATTATGCTAATCATATCTCATTGAGCTGGTGACATAGGAATAATTTAGGTTTCTACCAGTGGGAAATTGTATCTGGAAATGGCCAAAGAAGAAGTGGGAATTCCAGTCAGGAGAAGTCCTTGTTCCTTGTCATACCAAAGCAACCAATTAATGAATCAGGGGTCTGTGCTCTATCACCCACCTATTTTCTGGGATCTGAATTAGAAGCTGCATTTTTATAGGTTCTCAGAGTGATTTATATGCACTTCAAGTCTGGAAAAAACTGCTGCAGAAACATTGTAAACTTTAAAGAATTCAGGGAAGCGCTTTTGAACTTATTGCACCTAGATTCCAGCAAGCTGAAGACTAGCTAGCATGAGCAGTTATCAGTTTTGGTGGTTGATCAGTGTTTTTCTGTCTCTGCCTGTCATTCTTTGCATTTAGGAAAGGGGAAATTCATTATGAAGAGAGTTTATGAATTCATTTGTTTTAGGTGTTTTTAAAAAATAAAATAAAAGTCAAAGCAGGAACTATAAAAAGGATGGTGAGTGTATCATTTTTCTGGAATTTCCCCGTTCTGTAATTCAGAACTCAGCATATGGTATGTACTGGGTATTGAGCTGCTATTTATGAGGAGGAGTAAGCAGCAAACTGCAGGTTACACTCTGCATATCTGTGCTTAGCAGGTTCATTCATTAAATGTAATTATTCTTTTTATCAGGGCAGGCAGTCATTATATTTTGGCAATTTAGTATGCCAGAATTTGATTCATTTATCAAATATTTATTTAAGAGAATTTTCCCTGTATAGTCAGGCTTTACATGAATTAGCAGGAAAGTTATTCATTTGTGAGGTCTCTCCCTCCATCAGGAATATATTAACATGGGTCTGGGCATATTTTGTTAAGTGTCCATCACAAGGCTTCCTACCTCCACTTTAATTTTCACTTCATTATATAAGGGGAGAACGTGACAATCCTCCTGCAAGCTTTACTTAGGGCTGGATTGTGATACGATTTATTTCACTGGATGATTTGAAGATCAAGGGGCACATTAGGGAAAACAATGTTTGCTTAATTGCATAAGTAATTTTTTTTTGAGAATGAAGGATTATTTAAAGTAGGCATATTTTGTGGTTTTCCATTTGTATTGGAAATGTATGGTATAATTTTTTAAACATTCTTGTTTCAAACATAAGAACTACACACAAAAGTCTGTTATTTCCTGACAATCCAGTTTTTTGTTGTTTGCTTTTCTTTGTGGGCCATAGTCAGTGGTGTGATGCTGAAGGGATTATTTCTGGCTCTGCTCTCAGATATCATTCCTTTTTGGGGGGGTATGGAGTTACACCTGGAGGTGTGCAAGGGTTCCTCCTAGGGCCTGCACTTAGGAATTACTCCTGGAATTGCTTGGGGGAGCATATGGGATGCCAGGGATTGAACCTAGGTCAGCCACATGCAAGGCAAATGCCCTAACCACGGTAGTATTGTTCTAGCTCTCAGATATCACTCATGGCACGGTTCAAGGGACCATGTGTAGTGTTGGAGAACAAACCCAAGTTGGACATACACAAGGCAAATTCTGTACCTGCAGTACTAACTCTCTGGACCCTCATTCAGTTTCTCTCTTTTTTTTTTCTTTTTGGGTCATATCCGGCGATGCTCAGAGGTTATTCCTGTCTCTGCACTCAAGAATTACCCATGGAGTTAATAAGTAAAATAGCAGAAATCCAAAACCGCGCAGCCGCTATTGCGGCCACGTAACAACATTTAATTCTTGAACCCAGCTGTAGAAAACAAATCATTTCACAACGCTTTTTCAGCATGTCTGATTTGGGTGGGGGGGGGGGATAAACTCTAAATAATAATGGTGTATCTTTTATCGAAACAATGAATCTAGTCAAAGTAGATAGATTGTTAACTAGAATTCATCTGCCTCACAGGCATTGGGAGGGGTGGGGGGTGGGGTTTTATAGGGGTTCTTCGTGGTAAAAAATAAGTATTGGTAAAGGGAAATATATTTGATATTTGCATGACTGAGACCTAAACCTGAAAGCTTTGTAACTTTTCCCACAGTGATTCAATAAATAAATAAATTATATAAAAAAAGAATTACCCATGGACGTGCTTGGGAGGCCATATAGGATGCTGGGAATTGAACCTGGGTTGGCTGCATGCAAGGCAAATGCCCTCCCCACTGTGCTATCACTCTAACCCCCACATTCAGTTTTTCTTGCTAAATAATTTTTGGTCAATTTGTGCTTAGTGCTGATCATCACATACTCGTTTGGCTCTAAGTGTAGATCAGACTAGGCTGTGATGTGAATGTTTCCTTCCTTCGTTTTCTGAGGTAGCTTATAAAATATAATTCAATTTACAAAGTCTGCTTTCATCTGCTTGTTTAGTTTCCCTGTAAATGTAGTGGTCAACACTGACCTTATGACACTGACACCACCTCTCATGCAACAGAGAAGCCCAGGGTTTTCATGGTTTATGTTGTTTATGTTCAAACTTTCAGTGATAGTTAGTTGGTGAATTTAATTTTGTCCACCTTGGGCAGCAGAAAATTTTCTGTTCAGTTCTAAAGATACCTCATGCATACATTTAAAGGTAAAATGCATCCCATTAATATTTTATTTCAAATAAAATATCTGAATATCTATATTGCCATTAGCAATGACAGCTTTGGTGGAGAAGTAGGTAACTGGTCACTCGCCAGGGTTCATGAAGAGAATGGACATCCTTATTCCTCACCCCTCCCCCACCCCAGCATGTATGAGCATCTGTATTTGGACACAGATTGTCTTCATTTCTTTGATACAAATGAGTACTTTAAAAAACCTTCAAAATATCATCTAATAAGAAAGCTTTTATAAGGAAGCTTCTTTACTATGTTCTTGACTAATACAAAATAAACTAGTGGCAATCAAACAATTTTGTATGGCCTCACTTATAGAGGGCAAGCTATTTGTAAACTGATCTAAACTTTTTTCTTAAAGATTAAATTTTCATCTAATTCAATCACTCACCTAAGTTTCTAAAATCAAGCCTTGTTAGTTTGAATGCTCAAAAATAATGTGTACTTTCCTCATGGATTCTTGGTGGAAGTCATTTTGTGGATCATTGTCTTTTTGCTTTGTTTGTCTTGTCTTTTTCAGGGTGAGACCCACAGGCACATGCCAAATGATGCAGCCACTGCTTTTAGAAAAGCTTAACCTCAGGCCCTAGATGGAACTTTCAAACTTTGAGGCAAAGTTTTCCTTTCTGTACGTTGCCTTAACTTTTAGGATCAAATCTATGCATTTCAGAAGTGCTTTTCCATGGTGTTGCAAAATAAGAACTGAATTGCCAGTTTTCCTGAAACATACTTAGAACATCAACTAAGACAAGATTTCTCCTGCAACACTCCACGACCTTTTCTAGGCCATGAAAGGAAAATCTACACCAGTCCTTACCAGTATGGCTTCTTTTGTGGACCATGAGCACATTGGGACCGATGCAAATTATCCCACAGATATCACACTTTAGTTTGCCGTTAGGAAGTCGGATGCCTCCAGCTCCTGACAAAGTTTTGCTGCCTTGGCCACTGTGGGAGCCATTCATTTTCTCTCCTGAGGCATCAAGCATTCGTAAATCCTCAGCACATTCTTCCCCATTCATTTCACAGGCACGCCCATTCTCTTCATCACTCTGAGTCTCTATTTTAACATTACTGGCTGAAAGAAACAATACAGGGTGCCACTCAGTGTCAATGCAAAAACAAAACAAAACAACACAGCAGCAAAAAGACAACCAAATAGAAACAAAGAGCTTCTGTTTGAAGACTCTGAGTATTGTACATGTACCAGGTGAACAGCAGCCCAACATCTTTAGGCCTCTGGGGCTTTGGGAGCAGAAAGAATTGAGGTTGCTCTATGTAGTTCTGAATGGCAATGTATGGGAATGAATGAATAACTTATTCTCACATTGTGTCAGGTACTCACTCTAGCCAGAGGTCAAAGGCTTCACAATCATTGCCTTGTGGCACCTCTGGATAGGCTGAAGGGGGGAGGGGGTGTCTGACAGGTGAAGACCTGTATTGGAAGTGAGTACAGACTCCCTACCAGCTCCAGAGCATAAAGCCCTCCAGTGATTATCAAACATGGGTCACTCCTCTTATTTATAATGCAATTATCATCTTTATTAATAAAATTTTGGACAAAATGAATAAAAAACATGTTAATTATCTGATTAGCTGATATAATTTTATTTCCTTGTCTGGTCCATAATCATCCTAAATCCTTATTTCATAATGATAATAAAACTTCCTAAAGCTAGCTAAGTATATGATTTGTTATATAATTTTACAATGCTGAAATCTTATAAAATTTGATGAATGTAAGGAATCTAGGTGTGCAAAGAGAAATCCATGTGTGAGATGGAAGGGTAGAGATAAAAACTAGTGTTAATTAGATTATTACAATCTACTTTGCACTATTGTTTCTTTTATGTCACATTTAGGGTAATTATATCATTTGAATGTTTTTCCCTCTGTAAATTCTATACTTTTCTGAAACACTGTCCTGAGTATAAGTAGAAGAATTTAATGCTGGGATCAGCATATGTACTGAAAGATCCCTCACTTTCATCACATTTTCTATGGAAAATAAAATGGGTAGAAAAATTCTGCCCAGTAAAATAATAAATGAGGCAAATGGCATCACCATCCCAGAATATCTGATCTTTTGAGTGAGGGACTCTCAAAGTGACCTCCCAGAACCGACAGCATTAGCATCAGCAAAGCACTCCAGTACACTACAGGATTACCATACTACAGGCTGTGGGAGTAGGCTCAGCACTCTGTCTCCATGAATCCTCCAGGACATGCTAATGCACACTCAAGTCTAATGCAACTAAACAGTTAGGAGCACTTGATGCCAATTTATTTTATTTAATACATTTCTTTTTATTTGAAGACTAGAACCCAGATTCTAAAAGAAAAATCCCTAGTTTAGAATATTAGTTCGACTCTTCCTAAGTGCCCTTTTATGCAGGCCAGCTAACTGCTGAGTGTGTTAGTTTATCCTTCTGTTAAAATGGAATCTATTAATATTAGCATAACAGGGGATTTAGCTGAGAGTATGTGAGAAGTTAGATTAGGACTGTGGCTTGGAATAGCAAGAGGAAATAGAAGCACCTACCCTCTAGAGGTGTGATTTTTGTAGAGGGGGCGGAGGGGGGTCTAAATATCACCCCAATTATGTTTATGGTAATTATCATGTACCAGGTCTTGACTTGTAGCATTTAGCTTGAATTATAGCATTTACCTGTCAGGACAATCCTATAAAGGAGATGCTACTACTGTCATATTTTAAAGCTGAAGAAATTCAAGCACAGAGTGGTGGAATCATTTGCTTACCCTAACTCAGCTGCCAAATAGGTGGAGCCTGGTAGGTTCTGATGCCTGCACTCATGACTGTTTATAGTGCAAGGAGCTCCTGTTACTTAGCCCTTCAGAGAAAAGACTTAAATGTGAATAGAAAAGATGCCTGAACATGAATTTCAGCCCTCACTGTGAACTTTGAGAACCTAGACATTAGGAAGTATCTATCTCCTTCCTATCACATTCCAACATTATGCAAGAATGAAAGATCTGGTCAGGATGATTCTCCAATGCTTTTCCCTGCAGGATTCTGAAGGCCACAGTCCCAGAAGGCCCTTGCATCTCAGCAGCCCCTTTCTGACCTTTTCACACGACCAGAGACAAGAGACCCTATACCCACCAGCATGGAAGTACAGAAAAGATGTCAGGCAAGGAAGATCAAAGCACCATGAGACCAGGATGTTTCCTGACCTCTCTGCCCTGAAATCACCCTTCGACGTGTGCCATTGATTTCTCTGAGTAGAAGCTAATTTTCTAGGACCTCTCTGCTTACTTGTTTCTGCACCACAATGCTCTGGAAACAGTTTAATGCTCTGACAGTAAGGTCTCGAAAATCTCAGAACGCTTTCTTCTGGGAGTTATTTTTTTTTAAATTAGGGCCATGATGGACCACAGTGGAATGAAGCATCACTGTTGGTAGTGAGACACAGCTGCAGTGAAGGGCCAAGGGCACCCTGGGTGGGAAAAGAAAACCACACAGGGGAACACCAGCAGGATACTCTCCTTGGCATGCTCCTCCTCTCACTCAGTTTCATAATTTCACAGGAAAGAAGCTAAAGATAATGAAATACTTTTTTCTCAAAAACACATGGAATATTAGTGTTTATCAGTTAGACACTTGAATTTGTTTATATAACTACTAAAGAAGGCAGGTAATTTTGCAATTTTTCTAACCTGCTTGAAGGCTTGTATAGATGCCTGTGTGAATCCTTTTTGCTGAGGAGCAGAAGGAAGGACAGTTCAACAGGGGAAGGTCATGAGGTTTCTAATACATGACATGCACCCTTTTAGCAGCATCTTGTAGAGATCCAGCATGACAGGGGTAAGACGTGGTAGGTTGCTGACTTGGATGCTATAGCCACCTTCATAACAGGAGACCTAACACCAGTCACTAACTTAGCTAGTAGTTCTTGAAGATGAGACAGTTAGGCCTTGTGATGTTTTATCTAAGAACTGTAACAAAGCACCATTGGGGGCACAATCAATTCATCAAAATGCACTTGAGCCTATTACCTTGAGGTGACTGCATCCCCAGGTAGAATAAATAGAAGTTTTTAGAGCCAGAAAAGGTAGAGCACAAAGGATCAAATGCAGAATTAGGTTATATTCTAGGTTTCTGACAAGAAAGAAGCAGACGATACCTCAGATCATAGAGACAAGGTCAAGAAACTTGAGTTAAATCATGGAATCTTGACAGATAACATCCCCAAAGCAAATGCTGCATGGTCATTGTTTTAGAGCTAGATTCTTGCTGGCACCATAGGACACATTCCAGCAGGAAGGTCTGAAAGACTAAGAGAGGGAGGTAATGATCTCAGTGATCAGGGTAAGATAAAATGGGTAACAACATCAGCCCTGGGCATATTAAGTCCAGTATGAGTGAATGTTCCCTAAATATGGGGAATGGTTCTCATTTCCAAGGAACAAATGCCAAGAAGGTGGTGTTTGCATAAAGGAACCTGAAAGACTCCCGCTCATTTTCAGGAAGTGAGGTACACATAAAGTGGGGTGTGTGGTGGGTGTGGGTGGGTGTGGGTGGGTGTGGGTGTGGGTGTCTCACTGTAAGTGAAAAAAACAACACAGGAAATACACTTATTTTACAGATGAGGAAATCAGGACATGAAACTACCTTAAGTCACAAACACTGGACCTCAAAGTTCATATATTATAAACATAAATGTGAGGCCTACGTAAGTGCAAATAGTTACATTTAAAGGACATATATTTGAATAGTGAACTCTTGGTTTTAGTTCACAGTAGAATTGATTAGTGATGCTGACCAGAGGAAGTTAAAAACAGAAGAGGTAGTCTGGGGTTGGGTTCTGTGAGACTAAAGTTTAAGTGGTCAGGTTGCAACCCTGCACTGGCCAAGTTACATGTCTTTTCAAGGGCCAGTAAAATCTGGAATGTGTCAGGAGAATAGATGTTGGTGGGGAACTGAGACCATATTTGCAGGGAAAATGGAGGACACTGGGTATGCCTGAAGCAGACAACAAGGCTGAGAACAAGCTCAGAGGAGCTTCTGGAAGCACTGGTACTGTTATGATAGACAATTAAGAGTGAAGAAGGGAGCAGAGGTTTCTCCAAGAGGGATATTTGGCCCTGTGAGGTCTCTGGGGATCACAGGTTATGTTTACACCAGTTATGGTAAACTCTGGGATGTGTCTGCTGTGGGCCCTTATTTAAATCCTATAGTCCTGCAGAGTTAATGGCATCAAGTGATTGCTTCAGCTAATGACAGAAGAGCTTGGGTATGGGTAAGTGTCACTTATTTGAACTACCCCTTTCCTGTTTGCTTCCTTCATATTCCTTTGCTTTGAAATCTACTTGAGGATATGCAAAACTCCTGCTTTATTACATTAAAAATGTCACTGAGTAACGCCTTTCTTGGTAACTGACACTCCTAAAATAAAACAGATCACCTAACATCAAAATCACGAACTCATCAGTCCCCTTATAATTTGCATTTATTGGACTTTGATCCTTCCCCTGGGATATCCCCATGGGAAGCTACCAAGGCCTTATGTTGGTCGTGTGGACTTCTCTCTGGATTTCTAACTCTCTTCTGCTCCATGTTTTTGGGGCAGGAACTGCTTAGTTGGGATATTGTTTATATGAAATGTTATGCCCTCCTTCATATAGAGACCATATTTATAAATATTTTGTAGCTTCATCCCTCCCACCCTTCAGAAATGTTGAACTCAGAATAAGATTCTGAATTGAGCTGATTAAATATAGACGATGAAGTGGAGTCTGCGAGCTTTTCTACCTACCTCTGGCTCAGCAGCCTGGCCCATGGCTTTCTCACCGACTACTGAGAGCTAATGGACAATGTTATTATTTAATAAATGTGTCTTTTATTAAGAATAGAAGTACCTAAACCCTGAAAATGCCGGTTAAACTAGAAAAAAATTAAGATCTTCTTGTTCCAGTTTCTTCAGAAGCCATATATGTGCAGTCCTAATAGAGATCCAGACTCCTGAATGTGTAGTGAACTCCAGCATATACACTAGTTTAGCTGTGATAGAGCTGGAGAATCCAGGGAATTCAAAGGACAATAAACCAGGAGACTTA